TATATATATTTAAAACGGATTAAAACATTTTTTTTAGCCTCAGATGGATGAGAAGATCCAGCTTGGCCCAAGAGCTCAAGTCACGTGGGTGAAGGGCAGCAGTGGAGGAGCCAAAGCCAGCGACTCGGGTAAGACACTAAAGCAACTTATGATGGAGCAAGACTCCATTTAAAGTATCAAACAAAGAAATGGACCTTTAAGTTGATTAACTGATGAAACTGAGCTCAAAGATGAACATGGTTGCTTTGTAATTTTCCTGTTAGCTGAATATTAACATTTTTTTTTTTTTTACATTTTCTCTTATTTTTTATCCTCTAAATGCTGAATAATAATGGAGTCAGTTTTCTGCTTGATGATATTCCAGTTTTACTTGTTAAAATTAGGGATGTCCCGATCCTGATCACAAGATCGGATCGACCCGATATTTTCCTATTTTGCCGTGATCGGAGCTCGGCTACATTAGCTGACAAGTCGTTCCGATCTTTATGGCAACTGCCATAAAATACCCACTAGTTACAGTTGACAGTAGCTGTGCAATACAAACCTCCGTGGCGGTGCAAATTAAGCATGTCAGAAGTGTGGAAATATTTTACTTCTGAGAGTGAAGACTGTCCTAAAGATACTTGCCTGCAAAATGACTGCAAAATGGCAATTTCAAAGGGAGGTAGCAGCAGAGCTACATTTAACACCACAAACTTGATTCGTAATCTGAGGACAAAACATGACGATGTTTATGAAGCATTTTGTCAAGCTGCAGATACAGACACAGCCAAACCACAGCAAGGTTAAAGTAACGATACAAAGTCACTTGAATCGGAATGTTGTTAGGTTTTCTACTGATATCTGTAGCGCAGACGTTTGCCCGATGTCCCTACTGAGCCTCACGGCACACTGGGTTGGTCCAGAAAATTTAAAGCGTGCCGTACTCCATGCTCATCAGTTCCATGGAGCTCATACAGCAGAACAAAATGGACAAGCCAAACTGTACATGTCAGTGTTTTGCTTTTTACTTTTTTTTGTCTGAAATATTAAATTGACGCAGATATTTAATTGTCTGTAAGATTTAGATTTTATTGGATTTACCATAATAATAGTAGTGCCTATTGGTGAAATTATTAGTCCTATAAAAAGCTGAGTTACATGCTCATATTATATTTGAGTATTATAAATTTCCTTACAAAAGGCGAAATATCGGCTCGGGACTTGAAATCGGAACGGATTTGTGGTTAAAAGAAATTATCAGGATCAGAGGCCTAAAATGCTGATCGTGACATCCCTACTTAAAAACCCTGAAATTAAATCTTTTCTGTGTTAAACCAGAAAAAAAAAGTCTGCTTTTTTTTGTCATTCATGTTTTCTTTCTCATTCCAATCTATCAGAACTATCTCGGACGGCTGGTCTGAACCGTTTCTCTGCACTGCAGTCCACACCTTTACCTCAGCCTTCCAGCACCCCTCCACAGAACCCTGACTATGACTCCAGAAGAACTCTGGGAAGGTAGGACACCATCCCAAACGGATGATCTCCATAGTTCTAGTCACCTGTGTTCCCCTTCTTTATTGATTTATTTGCCTCTCCTCTCAGCAGTCGGAACAACTCGGTCCGGGAACGTAGTGAAAAGCCGCTGATCTCAGCCCAGCCTTCATCTCGACCCGGTCCGTTCGTCAGAGGCAGCAGTTCCAAAGAGCTGCTTGAAACTCCAAACCCAGAGGAGCTGAGGAGAGACCGGGAGCGAGAGGGAGCAGAACCCCAGAGGCCGAGCGTCGCCGAGGAAAAAGCTGAACCGGAGCGAAGCAAAGTCAGGGAACCAGGTCAGAACAATGAGAGCAAAAAAGGTTTTAAGATCTTATTTAAAATGTGCTGAACGATGACAGGGACTGATCTGTGTTTTTGTGGCCATGTAACTACAGTCTGTCTTTGTTCGTACCGCTTCCTGGTTCATAGACGGCTCATTAAACTGATTCAGTTTATTGAATAAGATGTGAATGATGAGTTTTTATCAGAGCAGACCCAGCATTGATCTGAATGTCACTCTTATTACAGTGAAACCCGAGCCAGTGCTTCAAAAGCCAGACAGACCTGCGCGAACGGAGGAGGAGATCGAGAGGAAGTCAAAGTCCATTATTGATGAGTTTCTGCACATAAACGATTACAAGGTAGTGATCTGTCAGACCTCAACAAGCTGCTGTCAGAAAGCTTCCCTCAAAGCATTTTAACCTTTAGGGATTTCAAGACTGTAGTCCTGACAAGAGCTGTGTGACTCAGCAGGTTTTTTTTTCTGTAACCTTTATTTAAATATTGATTTACTTTGTATTCAGATACCAGGTTCCAATGATCGTTATTTCCTCTGATGCTAGTTGTCACGTTTCGTGATATGGTCTTGTTTGTCTGCAGGAGGCTATCCAGTGTGTGGACGAGCTGGACTTGGGCCCTCAGTTGCACATCTTTGTGCGGATCGGGGTGGAGTCCACCCTGGAGCGCAGTCAGATCACACGGGACCACATGGGCCAACTCCTCTTCCAGCTGGTGAAGCAGGAGATTCTGCCTAAAGCCCAGTTGTACAGAGGGTCAGTCCACCTGCTGAGTGCTTGTTGCTTGAGAATGAGGCCACAGCAGAACTGTTTCTGTAAATCAAGAAAATGACAGTTTTATTTATGAAAAAGAGTATCACCATGTTTCAAGTATCAAATTTAAAGAAAAAAGACCTGATGCAGGCAAATACGTGTAAAAAATAACTTAATGAAGTCCTGCGTGTGTGAGCCAGCCTTGAAGCCACTGTTTTGTCTTGAAACATAATTAATAAATTTTTATTTTGTAAGGAAAAAAATAAGAAGTTTAAAGGATTAAGATTAAGGGTTTGAATTAAGGAGTACAATGACCTGCAAAAGTAAAAATTCTCTTTTTCTTACATTAATCACAATGGTTACAGCCATTAGCCAATCCTCTGATTGATGCTCTGCTTTGATATTTAGAAGAAATCACACAGTTTGAGGGTATTAAAGGACATAAGGGGAATAGAAACATGCATTTCAAGTTTATTTGTAAAAAAAGAAAAAACTGTAGGCCTTCATGTAAAATCAAACTCTTATTTTTAATCTCATTTTAATGGCGAACTGTTTATTCCTAAGCTTTAGTGCCTGTTTTCCGTCTCTCAGGTTTGCAGACACGCTGGAGCTGGCTGATGACATGGCCATCGACATTCCCCACATATGGCTGTACCTGGCCGAGCTGCTCAGCCCTTTGCTGAAGGACGGATGCTTCTCTATGAGAGAGCTCTTCAGGTATTCACAGTAGATCTGGTATGGTGGCCATCTTTAAACCTCTCATATATGACCACAGGGATCTAATGCTGCTTGCTATAAATCATTGTGCTTCACTGGAGCTCGTTTAGTTTCTGCATTTTCCTCAAATCCATCTCAGTGCTGCCCCAAGTGGTGGAATATAACAATAGCATTTTCCTCTCCCTGTCTTCACTCTCCATGCTTCAATAAATGTAAGCTACGCTAGGTTAGCTTCCACTGTCTGTGTGCTCTTAACACTCCAGGTCTCTGACAACTTTGATATTTTTGAAAATTTTCTTTGAGGGCAGGGTTATGTTTTTTATGTCAAGTTAAATTTTTAAATTCAATAACACAGACATGGTAATTGAATTATCTCTTGTTTGTTTGTAGTGAATTAAGCAAACCTTTGCTTCCTGTTGGAAGAGCCGGGATCTTGATATCTGAAATACTGCACCTACTATGCAAACAAATGGTAAGCATTATTAGCATCATTTATGGTTCTAATTTCTGTAACTGCCTAAATATATTTATCATTTATTAATAAAACACTACAGTTTTCTCCAATGCTGTCCTGCAGTCAAATGAGCTGTTGAGATGTTAACTTGAATAGACAAGTTTCACATCCAGAGCTAAGGAGGGGCGCCATTTTTGTTGGTTTCTGCTAAGTGCTTCTGATGACATCTTGCAGATATAGTGTGGGAGAGAGAGTTAGAGATGTGGCTTAAACAACCACTTTAATGAATAAAGGTCATTAATGGGTGCCACTGTATGATCTGCCCCCTACTAAACGTAAAATGGCGATAGGGTGGCCGCTGCATGACCAGCTGGTCAGCTCAACCCACAAGCATCCATAACTACTACCCAGCATTATGGCAGGAATCATTCAGACCTTGGTTGATCATCTGCCTTCACGTTCACCAGATTGCAGCACTTTGTGTATCCACACACATCCAACTTTGCCACTGAGTACTGATAAGCTTCCAAGCTTTTCAGGTTTAGATGTTCCAATCTGCCGCCATCGACTCAGCACAGTACAAAATGTGATACCTGTTTGTCCTATTTTAATATCATAGCTGGTTAGGGAAGTGATAAACCATTTTCTTTTAAGAGAAATGGATAAGAATTTAAACTTTTTAGAGACATTTCTATCCTATGTAAATAAGCCCTGATCTTATTTACCCAGAAGAAAGTAGCAGAAATGGCTTCGTGGTGAAAGTAAAATAGAGAAGCTTGTTAACTTGTCTATAAACTTGCCATGAAATATATATATATATATATTTGTACAGTTCTATATTGAACTGTTTGGCAGTTCTTTAAAAAAGCTTGTTTTCAGATGAACCGCATCAGTAAAGCAAGAAGACATTTATGGAAGCGAATCGTTACCATATTTCAACTTTAAAAGCATTTCTTGAAATGCTTTTTCATTTTCAAATTTTACATTTTAAATAGAATTTTGGTATGTATTTGCTGGGGTACATTTTGAAAAATAAATCTCAAATGTCTTTTTAATTTTAATTAAGTAAAAGGATGAGCAGCGTTAAAGAAGAAAATTAAAATGCAAATAGGATGATTGATTACTAATTTTATTTATGAGTCAATTAATGCAGCCACATTGTTAAAATGAAAAAAGCATTTCTGGAAATGCTTTTAAATTTGAAATGTGGTAACGATTCGTTTCCGTAGACATTGTCCAGATAGAAATAAGTGTTGTTGTGTTTTGCTTCCTCAGAGCCATAGGAATGTGGGATCGTTGTGGAGGGAATGCAGCCTGAACTGGGCTGACCTTTTAGCCGAGGGGGAGGACGTCCAGGCTTTCATCTCACAGCAGGTTGGTGGTGGGATACCGAGCTCTGGCCTCTTAGCAGCAGATCAATCATCTGCAGGAACACCTGTTTAACCTTTACCTGTGAATAGAGATATTATTCAGGGAGTTTTTATTATTTTATTTTTTGATGATCTATGTCTCTCAGATTTTTCTTGAATCTCTGTCATCCTCATTGGGCCACTATCCTTTTGTTTCGTTACAAACAGAAACTCCAGTTCCTTCAACCAGAAGGTTCTGAGGAGGTGCAGACCAAAAGGATCTTGTCTCCTGAGGAGCTGAGTCAGAAGTTAGAGAAACTCCTCCTGGAGGACATGGCCAGTGATGAGCAGATCTTTGACTGGGTGGAGGTACGAACACAACCCCTTTCAAATCAAGTGCCAGCACCAAATGTCATCTCAAGACCCTTGAATGGAATCCATTTTTATTGAATTCTATAGAAATCTATCGTCAGATCAATCCAATGCAAACTAATCCTAAAGTAATCCAATTTCTGATGCCAGTTGGTGAAAATTATTGAACTAAAGCAGTGTATTTTTAAACAGGACTTGAATGTGTCACACTGCGCTGGCAAGACACAAATATTGATAATCGTACTCAGCTGCAGCTCAGACTATGACTACATGAAACCACACTATATCATAAATAGAATGGGCTTCCTCACTGGTCTATGACGACATGAAACCACTGGGCCTAAAAGTTCACAGCTCATGATATCTGTTCTTGCACTTCACACTGGTAAAACAATCTACAAATATGTAGAAATTTCTTAAATTAAGTGTATTCACTCTTAATTTGAGTAGGTAAATGATATAGTTTGTCAATGGAAAGAATTTTTTACTCTTAAAATACGATAACTGGATAATATGCACTTTAAATAAGACAATGCAATTGTGTTTTCTTATTTTAAGGTGAAATTGTCTTGTTCCACTGACAAAATGTCTCTTTTACCTCCTTAATCTAAGAACAAATGCACTTATTTTAAGAAAAAATGACTTATCTAGATTTAGATTTGTTTTCTAGTGTACGATGCTCTGATGGGACCTGACTGCTCACGCTGTACATCCAGTAACATCGGATTCAGCGACGAGAGATGGCGCTGTTCAGACTCATCAGTCCACAAGCCTCCTATGTTTTTGTCAGAGAAATAAAAGAATTCCCTTGTTGGCACGAGCAGTGTGGGAGGTTGAGGTAAATAGGGTCGTGGCTCACGATCACCTCACAAGGGAAGACTCAATAAAAAATATATATTTTCACCGGAACCTTACAACTCCCAATGGGGAGGTGGTGATGAGAGGCTGATCACCCCCTCGTTGTCCCTCTACACCACACAAAACAGGACAAACGATGAGGCTGAAACTCGATCCAAAACATTCTGGCACAATGGGAGAATCGGTCCAAGAAAGTGTATGTAAGAAAGGAAAGACAAAGTTGTCCATCCAGCAATTACTGGACTGCATGATGGGTGATAAAACTCTTCATAGATTTGGAGACTAAAAGAGACGGCATGAGGAAAATGATTCCTGTCTGGTTACTGGAAAACAATAACAAGACATCAACCATAGCAGCATCCTCTATGCACACTGCTAATGAAAACATCTGATAGTCTAATATGTCAATTCAAAAACCCTTAAAGGAAAAATAAATGTTGCAGTAACTCATAAAGGGGCGACAGTGGCGTTAGATGTAGGAGTT